AATAATTTTGTATACACTGTGTGTATACAAAATGATGATAAAAGTTGTCTAAGTCTAATTCTAATTAATTCAAATTACTAGTGTTTTGTTTTCCTCATTCTGTTTATTTCCATACAGCACCACATTTTGAGTATCTGGCTGGTCTTACAGAATAAAAAAAAAAATAAGCTGTAACATTTATCTATTATTTTAAACAGCAGGTAGTTTGTTTTCATCTTGGAGTTATAATTTGAGAACATCTACTAGTTGTTTAATTCCTTGCCAGTGTTAATGCACCAGAACAGGAGTGTGTGTAGATATGAATCTTTACTGCCTGAGTACAGGAATTAGCATACAGCCATGTGTGCAACTATTTTAGTCCAATTTATCTTTGTTGTCTGTACAACGTTCCCTTGAGCAGCATGGCCTTCAGAAAGTGGAGCAACAACAGAGTGGCTTTGATGCTGTGATGTCTGCAGGATATAAAGCGCTGTAATCATTTCCTGTGGATAGCTGAGCCTACCTGTACAGACTGCTGTGAGAAACCTGACAGAGAAACGCATACGCTTAAAGCTGCATACTGTACTTATACCTCATTCAAAGGGAACACATTTTTCAGATTTTGATTAAAGATGTTGGATTTTCCTTTTATTTCATGGTTTGAATACTTTGAGGTGGTGTGTTTTTTTAAAATTCCCTAGATATTCATATTTGTGTTATCTGTTTAGAGTCATAATGTGACAAAATGTTAAATAAAAGTCAGTTTAAAACTTATGAACACTTTTGGAATTTATTGAAGTTGTCTAAACCCTAAAAATAAAGAAATAAAATAATAGAAATGTTGTTCTCAGCTTCAATAGTTCTAAGACAAGTACGATTTCAGTGGCTGCATCTAAATTAAGCAGACGTGTAAGAAAAACAGCCTCCAGTCAGAATATTACCAAGCAGTTATTGCAGGAATTTAACTTCTGCCAAATCATCCAATGAAGAAGAGATCAAAGTGCTATTTAAGAATCCCGCTTCAGGGTTGTCTTGTTTTGATGCATGCAGGTTTTAATTATGAAGACCCTTTTTTTCCCTGAGATTCCTGTGAGTCGACAGCATGTCCCTTTACTGTGACAGATATGGCTGCGCCACTCATTTCAAATCAGTAGATGATCCAGGAGGAGGACAATTTTATTGCAACCAATCAGGAAGAACCAGAAATAGAGACAGAGAGGAACTTCATACTTTGACACCATGGGTTAGAGAGGAAACCTGTGACGGGTTATATCAGACGTATAACATTTTACCAACACCTGCCGCTATAAACAGGATTAATTTATGATTGAAAGAGGATTAGAGTGGAAAAATGTTTCAGCTGCAGCTGAAGCAAACAGGAAAGACACTCAGTGGAAGGATTGTATCTGTATAATCATCATCTACTATTCTTAAGAGATTAAAATGTATGACAACTTGAGGAATCATTAGAAAATCAGCAATCTGAATGAATAATTCACGTGTTTGACATCACAGACCCTCTGCACATCTCTGCAGGCATTTCACAATTCAGTAAACAAGGTGATGACATTTACAGCCATGCCCAAACATTTTTCCCATTCGTAAATTCCCAACTGCTTTCTCTTGCTGTGTTGAACCTTTCAAACGTCAGCCGATCCCTGGCTGATTTATGCTGCATCTTGTTTTACACATAAACATATTATTTCCAAAAAATTGTTTGTAAAAGAGGCTCACAAATGATTTTAAACACCCCAGTGTAACGCATTGTGTGCATCCTTCTGCTTTTTAGAAGAAGCAGATTATGTTTAATCCAGATCTTTAAAATAACACATTCATTTTAATCTGTTGTTATGCCAAGGATATTTCCCCCTTCTGTTTAATATATCTGTGATAATGATTGGAGGAAAGTGTTCAGCAGTAGCTCTGTCTTTCCCGGTAGGTTTGGTATTAATGTTGCACAGTTTGGAGGAGCCCTGAGCTCCGGTGATGACATTTAAACTGTGTGCCTTGAATTTACATCCATGAATGTGTGCAATGATTGTGCATCGTCATGTTAAATTCATGAGCATTTCATGTTTTCATGCTCTGCACAGCAGTTGCTGAACATTCCAGTCATATGGACCGGAGGCCTTCCTGTCTGCGTTCAAGTCTGCTTTTCATAAGAGAATAAAATTCTCATCTTTTGCTTTATCTCCTCTCTTTTTTTCTTGCGCTCAGTCATCTCCTGCGTGTCTTCTCCGGTCGCTTTTAGCACAAGAACCTCATTTATTCATGCTTCCTGGGTCCGCAGTGCCTTTTTATAGCCAGCTGCCTAGAACGGTGTTTAAAAAATGAATGGACTCTGCGAGTTCACCAAAATAAATTAAACACATCATTGCTCTGCTGGAGCTGATCTTGAGTGCACTTGAAAGTGAATCACGATACGTTCTAAGAGCAGACGGTAAGATATAAAGCAGGAGATGCATACTGATGCCTCCAGCTCGATTAAGCAGGAGATAATGTAAAGATGTTGAGGAATATTTATGGCTTTGACTCTGATTCTCTGTTTACGCTGTTTTTCTTTTTATTTAAAAGTGAAGTTTCTTTACTCTGTCTATATTATTTTTAACGTCTATCTCTAATATGTGCAAAAATGGTGAAATAAGCTCAGGTTTCATTAGTGTTGCAAGCTGTTGCTCTGAAAATTTCAGTTAAATTAATACATTTCTAGATTTCTTTGGAGATATTAGTTGGAAAGGCAACAGGACTCTAAGGTTTAGCTCTTTGATTTCAGAGTCTGGCATATAATTGATAATGTCTTTAAGCTTTAACCATTGTTTGTCGATATATCTATCATTAATGATCCAATTGATAAGTTTCACCAATTTATCAGAATGATTTTTGAAACTTTCCGAAGTTTAACTATAAAATAAGCAACCAGCTGTCATATATTTTTGCCTTAGTGTTTCAATCTCTTTTGTATATAATAAACCAAAAAGCTGTTGTGATCTTACTTTGTTTGGAACCATTGCTCAAAATAAGAAGCCTCCACTCTTATTTTATGTTCAAAATATGTATTTTTTGACCGCGGTCATTTCAGGTGTTGCATTGTGAAATTATTGGCATGTTTAGATTATCTGTCCTGTTCCTACACTCTCATCTCCTGCTGTTTTTTTTTATGGAGTTGTGTTTGTTTCTAGGATTTGCTTATGTGTTGCTACATTTATACTAGAGAACTGTTTCACATCATCTGAATCACCTGTTATTCTGTTTTTTAAGCAAGGTGATGAAGAAACACAAACATAGAGTATTTCCTTCTTCACAACTTCTGTTCTTCTTTTTCTATTCACCCTTTTTGCTCTTAATTTCCACTGTGTATCAAAGTAACAGAAGGAAATGATTCCTGAAGAGTTCGGATAGGGATGTACAAATGTTAATATTACCCTGAACCTTCAGGCTGGAGCTTTGGACTGGAAGGATACATGCAGCATTATGTTCCAGTTTAAAGACTTTAAATCAGGGGCTTCAGCTCTCTGTGGTGGAGATGGCAGACTAAAGCATTCAAAATGAGAATGTATTTAAATAATGCATGTAGCTAGACCTTACCCAATCCTCTAGAAATCTGTTTGGTTGATAAATGTCATGTTAAAAAAGTAACGAGCCACAGAAAGTTATTTATAGTTTTTATTGCTGAAAATAACTGTGTTCATTTTTCATGTTGTGTAAAACACTTTCTTTCTTTCTTTCTATCGATTTATCTCATTCATTACAGAAAACAGAACCCCAACAACACAATATAAAACAGCTGAATGAAAAGGAGCAGAATGGAAAAAAGTAGTACAGTATCTGGCTAACACAAATGGCTGTAGCAGGGGTCTTCAACGTTTTCGCCAAGGACCCCCAAACTTATTGCGAAATGGAGCGGGGACCCCCTAATTATATATATTGTATGAAATTGTGTTATATCAAACTGGTCCTATAGTCACTCTATTACATATGGAGTCATGTAACGAAAGTAATTTCTCCCTGGGATTATTAAAGTATTTCCGATTCTGATTCCTGGTTGATGGGACAGGTGTTGTGAATGAAACGGTGTCCAGGTTTTAAAGAGCTCCTGTGTGTCGCTGAATGTGTGCATTGATGACTGAAAGACATCTTCTGCTTTCATTTATCTGTTTACTACAGTGTGTTGAATTCATGTTAATGTGTATTTAAAGACATTTTGATTAGTGCGAAAAAATTGCAGGAGGGAATATTAAAAAAAAGTAATCAACCAAGACTTTCGCGACCCCCATGCAGTACCTACGCGGACCCCCTAGGGGTCCGGACCCCCTGTTGAAGACCTCTGGGCTATAGCAATAATATTTACCTAATAAAATTCATCTGCAGTCCAACAACCAACTGATTTATGAACAGCTATGTGAACTTTTTACATGCTTTTCTTAATTTCTAAGAATTAACAGGAATCACAAAATAAACTGACCCCGTGTCTTATATTTTATAAACATGTTTTTGTTTAAAGACAGTGAGTTTGGTGCAGGTTTGCCTGATGAGGTGAGAGTGAACACACGGTGAGATTCAAAGATCTGCCTGACGCCCTCAGAAAGACTACTGTAGCTCTCAAAAGAGTTTGAACTCTATAGAGAAGATAGTGTACATTAGAAACAAATTGAAGACGCTAAAAGAAGCTCCAAAGAAACAAGATGTCACCTGCACAAGTGGTGTGCAAGAAGGAAACATTTCCCTCTCTAGCATGTTTGTCACCAAGATAGGAAAATAACTTGAAGGTCATAACAGAGGTCATGTTTGAACCAAACACAGCGTTCAAGGAAAATAATGGTTTAGGGATGCTTCACTCTATCATGTATTATTCCAAGTATCAGAGGATGAAACAAGCTGTATATGCTATATTTTGACATTTTTATTATTTTATGTAGAGAAGATATACTAAAATTTAAAGGAAACCACCATTTTTGACAAACCTGAAAGTAAGAATCACTCTGAACCTTTTGTTCCTCTCTGTGTCCCTTCATGGTTCTCAGTGAGCAGAGTATCTGCCAGGCCCGGGCCTCCGTCATGGTCTATGATGACACCAGCAAGAAGTGGGTCCCCATCAAGCCGGGCCAGCAGGGGTTTAGCCGCATCAACATCTACCACAACACTGCCAGTAACACCTTCAGAGTGGTGGGCGTCAAGCTGCAGGACCAGCAGGTGACAAGAAGAGTGACATTTATTAGACTGTAGGAGGCCTGAACACGTTTAGGCTGTCCTGGATTCACACTGAGAGGTTTCTCTAACAGGGAAAAGTGTAGATATTTATGTTGTAGATGTGGTAATAGATAAACAGATATAAAAGTGTCTGTGTGTGATGACTAAACTAAAAGAAAACATTAGTCCAGGTTTTTTTGTAGTGGTGGAGATCACTTTTTATTTTCATTCATTAATTTTACTAGTTAGACTGATGATGACTGATGCTTAGAATAAGAAACTTAATGTTAGGTAAAAATTATTTTAGAGAGAGAAAAAAAAATGGATTATTTACATACCAATCAAACCCATTTAGTTGTTTTGTTGCAGCACTGATGCTGTTTCATTTTTTGTGGTTAACATTAATTATTATTTGGGTTTCCTGACCTCCCCTAACTCGCTTCGTTCTTTTTTTTTTTTTTTTTGCAGGTGGTCATCAACTATTCAATAGTGAAGGGTCTCAAGTACAACCAAGCCACCCCGACCTTTCACCAATGGAGGGACGCCAGGCAGGTCTACGGCCTCAATTTTGCCAGCAAAGAGGAAGCCACCACCTTCTCCAACGCCATGCTCTTTGCCCTCAACGTACTCAGCGCTCAGGACGGAGGTGTGCTTTACATTCAGATAGGCTCACTACTGATGCTCTGATGTTGCTGTTTTTTTAATTTTCCACAGATTTTGTTATATTTTCTTTAGGTAGTATCAGTTTGCACAAAACAAAATAAAGGCCATCATGTTTTTTATTACTTATTAGGGACTTACACGTTTATACCATTTGAAATAATTGTATACAGTTCACAAAAAATATTTTTGGAAATACTTACAGCAATTTTATTCTCCTGAATAGGACAGAAATTAAAGCAGAGGTTGTTTCCTAAGGAGGTGCGCTTTAACTCATTTATTATTACTGTGACAAATTTCTCGTCATGATAGGAATTTTGATTTATTGTCTAAATAACAAACTTGAATAAATAATTCTTAAAACCTCAGAAAAAAATAGTGATTTGGAGGGGATTGACAACCTCTTAGAATATGATTAATAGTGTCTACTGGGATGTTTAGTGATATAAATCACTTTTTTTATGTTACTGGTGTTCTGAGAAAGCCTATTTAAGATTTTTATGTTTTTTTTTTTTAAGAAGAGTAGTTGTGATTGTGAGGTTATGGTCATCCTTCGCGTGTATTCCCTAGTCCATTAATTTTGATTAAGTTTCTTAAAGCTTTAGTCTCTTTTATTTCCTGTCAGCTATATTCTAAGACCTTAAGCGTATATCAATGAAGGTTTTAGTCCATAACTGCTGCCTGCTTCATGACACAGCATCCTCTGCAAATGGACCTTAGATGCTGACCTAAAGAGTTCAGCAGCCTATTCAAGCGTTATAATAGTGGTCAAAGTGCAGCTGAGTTTTGTAACAGTGCCCTCTAACAAACTCTAAATAGTGTTATTAACTTTGACATTAGAGAACTGAGGGACACTACAGCATTGATAACATTGAAAGAAGCTGTGTTTCACTGGGAGCAATCAGGCTTGACGGGAACTGTTACTTGCACTGCTCCTGTTTGTCTTTGCTTTATGAAATATATCTTGTCCCGTTTGAAATACTAGTCCTTCAGCATTGAATACCCATGTGAGATGTGCAATTTGTCCTGCAGTACTCTCTCTGCACGTCGGAGTTAGTCCCAAAGGGAGAAACAGGCAAGTATAAAGTGTGGAGCAGCAGAACAAGACAGAGACAGAATGACTTTCACAGCTTGCCACTCATTTCCCCAGCAGCAGCAGCAGCAGCAGTAGTAGTGTGTGAGTCCCCCACCGTCCCCCTCCAGCCTGTTAATTTGAATGAGTCATTGAGAAGATCTCCCCTGGGTCCTGTGCTGGAGAGCGGACCTTTTCATCTGCTTAATGACATGGGACGGGGGTGCAGAGTGGCTTAAGTGGCAGGAGCCAAACACAAGTTCACCAATAGATGACATGATGCGTGTATTACACATGTATGCACTATACAGAAAGACCAACATTATTACTTATATTTTAATAGTTTCATGTTTGCAAAAAGATGAAAATCCCACTCACTGACCTGGCATAGGTGATATATTAGGTGAAAGTTATAAGGAAATTGTTTTCTTGCTGTCAAAGCTGATGTGTCTTCTACTCCCTCTAGTGGTGAGGGAGGGTTTAAGCATGACCTCTTTGTCCAAAATTAGAGGAAATTCTGCAGTTTATGATGGATTAACTTCTGAAGCTGAGCTACATAAACCCAGACAAACATTATTTTGGTCTTCTTACTAGCTCTGACATCATAATTGTTTTAAGTTGATTAAATATAACAGAAGTGGACATAAAAAACATTGTTTTGTAAAACTTTTTATAAGGTTATCTTCTATAAATGAACAGAAGCATTTTTCCTTTTCAAGCTAAATAGGATATTAAATAAAAACAGACAAAAAAAAGGTGGTAAACTTATCTGGTTCAATGTTATTTAGCAGACATTTGTAAAGTAGCATCTATGTTCTAGGATAGTACAGTATGGATTACATAGTATCAAAAATCTATTTTAAATATTCATAAATATATAGTATTTACTACATAAAATGTATTTTATATAAACTATATTTATTACATATAAATGTTAAACAATTAAAACAAAGTACGTTCCCACATAGCGATGATAAAAATCTTCTGTAATCTTATGTAAGGATTCTTCAAATATCATTAATGTGATATATTTCTGATGTTCAAAAATGTATCTATATCTTATCTCAGAAACCTTTATGATTATTTTACAATTTAAAGCATAAAGGATGTTTATTCAACTAATTTTTCCTCTAAAATTGGGAAGTTTTATCAAATAAAATAATGAACTCTTAACATTATAATACAATAGCTTGCTTAGTAGCCCTGATGAGTGAGATTAATCTGATATAATGCACAGAATTGGACGGCTCTCTGCTGCCTACAGACAAACCCGACCTTTTGAAACGTTAACCAGAGATGCTCGCTACTCGGCTGCTGCTGCTGGTGTCAGTTACATGAAGATGACAGGGGATACCGTTGGCCGAGTAGAGGAGGGAGGGAAGAAAGGCAGGTGAGAAGAGGGAGAAGCGTGGGGAGGGGAATGATGGACGGGGACAATGAAGATGACGAAGAGAGTAGGTAGCTTAAGGCAAGAGATGGTCAGAGGAGAGTGCGTTTGTCAGTGTCTCTGTCTCTGCCACGGCCGCTTTCTCTTCTTCAGAATGTCATGTAGGTAAAAACATGTCTGCTATGTGTTCCTGTCTGGGTTAAACCATGCTTTACTTTTTTATTCAACTTTATCTACATTTGTGTGTGCTGAAAATCTATGGTTATTGAAAGACAAAGTCTAGAGTAAATAGATCTATCGAGACGCTCACCAAGCATGTCTCTGCCTAACCTGAACTAGTAGAACCATGGTTATTGGTCTTGATAGGCAGTAGCAGCTGTGGTACTTAATTATCTACAAGGTAAATACAAAAATATTAAAAGAGATGCAGTGCTGTAGAGCACAAACAGCCAAATAAATAAAATGTTAAAACACCTTATTTTTGATTCAACAAAGACTTCTGTTTAGGTAGAGAGGTAGAGAAAAATTTAAGGCTCTTAAACTGCATCAGACACAAGTGAACTATAGGGACACAGCTGGCTAAATTGGGCAGAAAAGTTCAATTTTGTTTTATTGATCTGCTGTGTGACCAGCTGTATAACTATATGTGCTTTTAAAACTATTACATAGGATTATTTTCTTACAAATACAGAAAGCTGTGTCATCTTATGTGTGAAAGACTTATTTAAATACAAATTATCAGGAAAAACAAGCTTTTTAATAAAGGTATCATTAATCTTCAGTTACGTAAGTGACAATACTGAATTTTAGGTCAGGGTTGATAAAAAACTCAAGACATTCCTATTTATATTCATGCCTTTAGATGGGCTGCTGTACGAAGTTATCAACCTGAAACTTCAACTTTACAACTGCACTCAATCACACATTGTTAAAGTTTTTTTTTTATGTAATTATCCTTTTTCTTAAGCATGTATTTCAAAATGTTTTTCAACAGGATCAGAGTTGCAAGTTGCTCTTCCCACATCGTCAGATACATCCTTTTTCATGTATTTTGAAGTGGGAACACACCCCTCCTGGAAAATTGAGGTTTTATGATTCCTACCTTTTCGCTGCTGAAGGCTTTCCAGGAGGGCTGCACCTTTGAGTTTCTGATTATAGATATATTAACTGTCATGGCTAAAGAAAAACATTTTTCCACAAATAATCAAATAACTTTTGTTAGCTCTTGCAGAGCATCAGCAGGCATTCAGAAACAGAAACCACTACGTCATCAGCATACAACCTTATTTTTTTATTTGTTTAAGGGACTGCAACAGAATAAATCCTTCAAATCATTAAAATAATTTACCTGGCAATATAAAATAAAAGAGAAGATAGAATATACTCTCATTCACAAGTGTTTGCATGCTGTCTTAACTTTATTTAAATATGTATCAGACCAAAAAAAGAACTGTTTGGAAACCAATTAACAGTTAATAAGGTACACTTAAGGGAATAGTTAAGTATCAGGGAATAATGGGGAAACAGGGCTGAACATTCAACAGAAAACAAAACACATGTCTGATGTCTCTGTTTCCTAATGTCCCTTAAACTAAAACTTTAGATGTAACATTAAGAGGGTCAAGTAAACTTAAAATCAACTTGATTAGAAGAAAAACCTTGTTTTGAAGTTTCTGTCCTTAATAGATGGCAGCACATGAGCAGAAATATAGTAGCAAACCTCTTTGTTTGTAAGGTAAACACTGGAAATACAGATGTCTACAATCAGGTTAAAGCATCTGACACCAGGTTTGACTCATGTCTTTAGTTCAGCCTGTGCTATTTTTGGATCTATGTTATTTGATCAGTGGTTGCCATTAGTACTGTAGCCCCGCCGAAGCAAAGCCACTTCCATCAGAGTGGGAAGCGTTGGAGAGAGTACTGACCCTGAAAGCAGCCCGATTGTGGAGCTGTAACTCTATTATGTAAAGCGCACTTTTCATTAGACAAAGCAGGCTGGGGTCTTTAGTTCGGTCCTGTTTCATAGCTTTGTGTTAAAAAAAATCCATGAGATCTCTAAAGGGGAACTGTGAACTTTAAGATCCATTAATCACAATCAGACTTCTTCCTTTAAAGAAGCATTTCCTTATATAGGACAATATTTGCAATGGCTCATTGGAGTGACATTTAATAATGTTGCTAAAGAGGGTTCAGTCAAATCAGAGGCTTTGTTGTAAAAAGATGATGAATCCCTCATTTCATTGTAATCCCTCAGCTGAAGTGGCTTTTGCACCCATCTTATCGTGTCTTGAATTAATCACACATCCTATCTGCTTCTTCATCTGCGGATCTGCGTAATGTGTTAAAGGGATTACATTGCAGGCACCCTGCAGCACAAACTTTAAAAGGAGGAGCAGCAATAAGGAGGAGACTCGTTGATAGTATCTTAGAAACTCTAGTAATTCTTGCCGCCTGTGAAGGTATTCATACCCCTTGACTTTTGTCATGTCGCACTCCCAAACTTCCGTGAGTTTAATCGGGATTAACCACTTTACTTTTTTTTATAGTTAGTATTATGCCTGGTATGATGGTTATGTCTTTGCAGTTTGCATGTGTTCTCACAATCATGCACTGCTTTACTTAGATTTCGCAATTATATCCACCATCTAAAATCTCAGTAGAAGAAGCAAAGGTTTGTTGTTGTGATGTAGAAATCCTGAAAGGGGTAGTGAATATCTTGCAAAATTATCTCATGCTGCTGCAGAAACTAGAGAAATAATCCGTTATGAATGATATGCAAAAGCGCACATTTCTGTGGTGTTTAACTTGGCTTCAAAGAACAAGATGACTCAATCTACTTTCATTTTAGCTGTGCATTAATAATTATTCTGTTTTTATCAAACAGTACCACACAAGAAGGGGATAAAATTGTTAATTCCTAATTCATTCTCTGTCACTGGGTGGTTAATTGTCTTAACTGGCACTAATTATAATGAACATTAATGCGCTGGTAATGGATTATTAAGTACAGCTTTGCCTTATCTGTGCTTCTCTTTTTGCCTTTGCTTTTGTGAATTGCTGCAGGTCCAGCTCTCCAGCGTCAGGTTCAGAACGGCCCCACGTCAGATGAGATCGAAGCTCAAAGAGCAAGGTGAGACATGGTTACTTAGAACACAACAGGAACTTGGTAAAAAAGTGATTATGTCTGCAGCTTCTTTTTTTAAACATGTTTCAGTTAAAAACAATTAACCAGGCTAGTGAAAAATAGCTACTATGCACAAGTAGAAGAAAAAGGCAAATGGAAAAAGTTTGAAAACCAATAATCGATCAAAAGAAGCAATGATCTAACAGTTCTGCATGGTTGTTATGCTTAAATGCAGGAATTTGGAATCTGATTAAATTAGTTTTTACTCATTTAGAGCGCTTGGAATGTGTTCCATCCCATTTACTAATTTGGTGAAGTAATATTTTAAAGTATATCAGACATCAGCAATCATTTAGACCATTCATTCTTGATGTAATGTGATGTGATGATCTTCCGTCTCTGCAGGTTTTTACATCATTTTCAGTTATTTATGGAGAAGTTTTCAGATTAAGACTAAACTGAAACAGTGATGCCAAACCAAGACACTAACACTGGATTTTAAAAGTGTTACAGCTTTACCTGATTGATAGTTCTTTATCACTCTGACCGCTTATTTCATTTGTTCTCTAACTAGACATAAATAAACAGCACCAACATTCACTTTGCCTTGCATTCATGTAATATTTAGCTACTCTCTCCTTATAAGAGGAAAACACAGAAAAAACAGAAAGACAGAGAAGACTGAGCTGCTGCAAAGAAAGCAAAGATTCACAGCTATATTTAGAACCCTGCAGCAATGAGGTGGCATTTAGGGCTGACATCTGAAATATTTACAGCTCAAAGATGAACGGACGGACTAAGTCTTTGTTTCCGTTTTGAACCTACTTCTGCTTTGCTAATTGGCTGATTCAAACGCCATGGCTTAGAGGAACACATACTGTAGAAAGAGAGTTATAGCTCAGCCACATCCAATATCTGCTGAACCATTCCCAGGATTAGGGCTGTGATTGTGGCAGGAGATGTGTGCGCATACACCACGTGTTTCAGATCTCTGCTGCTGCAGCTCTGTTGTCTCAGTCCTTCTCCTGTCCAACTAACAGCTGGATAACTCTGCTTTCTCCCCACGAGCTGTCTCCTTCCCTTCTCTCCTGGGGTGTGACATTCATATGCTTTGTGCTTTACAAAAGGGCGAATACAGGAAAAAGACTTCAATAGAGGGAGAAAAAAAATGCATTTTCATGAGAAAGCACTTTGAAATAAGGGGAGTGTTGCAGGTTAGGTTTTCTCTGTGATTAAAAGGGAATTAAATGATTGATTTATGATATTAAAATACATTATTATTAAAGAACCAACATGAGTACGCTGCAGAATTATACTGAATGTGCCTGAATTTGATTTAAATACCCAATCTGACCAAGAATGGTGCATTACACTCCCCAAAAAAACATCTAATTGCTTATTTTTATTAGTTGCATTTCAGCTTCAGGGAAAGTTCCTGATAATTCAAAACGTAGTTTGGTTTTCTCACGGAGAAATGAGCAGTTCTTCGACATAATGTATGACTCAACTGCACACTCAACAAAAAGAATCTCGCCAGTGAAACATGGTGGTGGAAGCATCATGCTTTGGGATGCCTGCTTTGCAGAGGCTAGGACTGTGATCTGAGTTGAAAACTAATGGAGTTAATTATTATAGTAAAAAAGCTTTAAATCTAGTCAATTATTGAGACAACAGGATGATGAGTTATTTGGATGCTTCTGTAAGTTTGTATGTGCTGAGCAGAAAAGAAACAGCATTTCTAACAGTCCTCTGCTTTTTAGAAGCTTCTCTTTATGTGTGAAATGGTTTTCTCAGCTGCTTCAGTTGTTAATCAAACATTTAATGATTAGATTGTTCTGATGCTGAGTGAGCAGCTGTTTTTGTTTCTTTCTTCTTTTTATTTTGCCTTCAGGCAAATGATGGAACAGCAGCAGCAGATGCAGGCGCAGATGGAGCGGGAACGACGGTCCTCTAACTCAGGTAGACACACACAAACATCCCAAGATTAAGCCGTCGTTAACAGCATCCTGAGGCAAATAAAAAGTTTCCTTTCTGTTTAATTGTTTCCAGGTTCTCCTTTCCAAGGCCACCCTGCTGTGCTCTCCGTACCCCCACCTGTAGTACCTCCACCTGTAAACATGGGAGGCCCTCCCCCTCCTCCACCGCCACCGGGCCCCCCGCCGCCATCAGCAGCGGCCCCTCAGCCTCCTCTACCTCCACCGCTTCCTATAGGAGGCGGTAACCAGGGAGACGAGGCCCCTGCACCGACAGGTCTCGCTGCAATGATCGCTGGAGCCAAACTACGCCGTGTCCAAAGAGTGAGAACTCAGCATTTAAATCTTCAAAGGATTTTATACCAGAGTTATATCTTCTTATCTAAACTAAGTAGCTTTCTAAGGTGTTTTTAAAAGTAACAAACAGTTGTTTACCTGTTCTTTCTCCATGTCAGTCTGAGGACAGCTCTTCAGGTAGCAAAAATGAAGCCAACCGAACAAGTGGTGGTAGTGGAGGACTGATGGAGGAGATGAACGCCCTCCTGGCACGAAGGTCAGAGCAATCAACTCAAAAGCTCCACAAGACTATGTTCTATTCAAACAGTTGCGCAAAAACAGCCGGAACAGTCCCCCCCCCCCCCGTTCTTTTTAGTAAACAAAAACTATAGTCATTTTTTTATTTATGTAAAACATGTCATTCTTAATTAAGGCTTCTTCTTTCCCCCAGAAGGAAAGCGGCTTCAGAGAAGCCTGACGACAGCCAAAATGTAAGTGGATTGGAAAACCTAATGGAATAAAATTGTTTAAAACTATCAAAGCATTATACTTGAAGTGATGACATTGATACAGCTTTTCTTATCTTTTTTCCCCCCCCACGTCTGTATTAATTTAGGATGATGCAAACTCTCCTTCGCCCAATACTCGGGGTGCGCAGAATTCCACAGGTAGGAGAGCAAAGACCAGGAAAGCACAAACTACACAGTAACATATCATGTGACCCATGGGAGAAATTAGTCTATCGGTGATTTCCAATGAATTCCTGCCAGTTATTTGATCCAGTTTTGCTTTTGTCACACAGATGGTGCGAAGAAGCCCTGGGACCGAGTTAACTCTGCAGACAGGTCAATGGTTTCGAGGTGAGAGCTGGAAGCTTTGCACTTTATTTCACTAGAGCTTTAAGGAGAGCAGCAGTCAGTTAGACAGATGATTTTCTAAAAATATCCCCTTTTTATCACGCAGGTTACGAACAGCAGGAAGTGTCAGTGACTCCGACTCGTTAGATCTTGATAGGATGAAGCAGGTGAGGTGAAGAACACTGCTCTGTCATCTCGGCATGCAGAAAACACTCATACTATATGTACACATCTGTTTTGTGTAAAACAGTATGTCCAACGTAGGAAAAGAGAAGGCTAATTTTTCTGCTATTGCTCTACAGGAAATCTTGGATGAAGTTTTTCGTGAACTGCATAAAGTGAAAGATGAGATCATTGATGGTATGTTTTCTTTTCCCTTCATAACTGTAAACAGGAATGTCTTTATTCGTCCATGGAATATGCCTTTGCAAGTTATGTGCAGTTGTAACCACTAGGTAGCACTAGATTGTAAGAAAAATAAATATGAAAAATGCAATAACCTGATCCGAATGTTTGCCATCTAAACAAATGTTTTTTAACCATTTTATTTTCTGCTAATATGTGGATATTGTAGCTAAAATACAGTAAAAATAAATCAGCTTTGAAAGGAGAGAAACACGTTTCTCATCACATTTAGACACCTGTTTTGTGGAATCTTATTTTATAATATTAAATACTATAACATTTTTGAGCAATGTTTAGTTAAAGCAAAACTTAATGTTTAATTATTGTTGCTCTGATTCCAAAGGTGCATAGTTTTAGCTGGGAAACTTGCTTTTTCCTGGCTCATCCAGTGGTTTAGGTCATTGTTACGTTCTCTTCTTTACTTTTTTCTTTAAGATAAAATGTTTTTTTTAATTCTTATTTGTTATCCAGGGAAAATGTAAGTATGTTTTTTTACTTCCTAATCAACTTAAAATAGTGTTCTTTAGTTTCATGTATTTAAATAATAAGAATGGGTGATTTAAGTAAAAAGAAAACAAACCAAAACATCACATCTTAACTACCCTCTTAGTTAACACCCTTAAACAAATGAAAAAAAAAATTTTTTATGTCCTAAAATCTTTTAGGTTATCCCTCACCATTAAAAAAAAATTTAGTGTCAAGATGTTTTAAACACATCTTTACCAGTAGGTTCCATTTACAGTGGTATTATTCCATGTACAAAGAAAGAAAAAAAGAAACATCTCATAAGCTGTATCTGTCCTCTAATTCATGCAATACAATTAAAATGGATGAAAATATAAAATACCTGCAAGAAATTGTTCTTTAAATAGCTTTCGGATAAATTCAGTTTATCCTGGGATCTGAAGCTAAGGCTTCATCTAAACAGGGAAGACCCTGAAGCAGAGTGCTGTTAACTCATCTCCATTCATATTGCAACATATATATATATATATATATATATATATATATATATATATATATATATATATATATATGTATATAAACATGTTGCAATATGAATGTATTGAAACCTACCGTCCTGCATTTTAACCCTAACTTAAGATTTCACATCTTTTCTCTCCTCACAGCCCTTAGAAATGAACTCAGTCGAGTTAGCACGACATAATCTTTAAGACCCGGACGGCTTTTTTTCCAAAACCAATGCCCCTTTAGCCGCTGCTGAGGCCCTGAAGACAAGGAGGACGAAAAGTCCGAGGCCCAAACTGTGATATCTACTCATCGTTTTTCAGCTGTGGTGTTGAAGCAACGCGGCACCCGTAACACCTCCGACGTGTCTGTGTAACATTTGGTTTGTTTGTTTGGACAAAAAGACCTGAACGGGCCACTTTCTCGCACTGATTACTCTGTTTTATTAACAATTTTTGTCTGTTTGTCTGCCCACCTCTTCCCTCTGCCTTTGACCCCAAAGGAAATTCACAAAATCTAAACTTATTTTTATTTGTTTTTTTTTTTCTTGGAGTTTATTTGAATATGTTTTGTTAATATAATTTTGTATTATTACTATCATAAAATAACTGGCAGAAATGAGGTGCTTTTAAACACCTGCAACAATGGGGAATTTTTGATGATAATATACATGATAGTAATGATAATGTTTTATTGAGCGTCAGTGTAAAGCATTTTTATTTCATATGGTGTTTATTTAGTTTTGTTTGAGAAATATTTACTAGCAGTTCCCATTTTCTGCTTTTATTCCCGGAATTTAAACATGTTGTTTATCCTTTTCGCCAATACAAATACATTTGGAACCACAGCAGAAGCTGAAAAAAAGAATAGAAAAATAGGCTTCAACATGAAACCAATAAACTTCTTTTATAATGCAATCTTCTAAGGTAAAAATGAAAGAAAAAAAAAAGAAAAACAAAACACCAGATTTAAACACCAGAGTATTTGTGATCACGTTGTTAATAAAAAATGTTTATTGGCTGCAAGGATATGGTGCAGTGTTGTTCATTTTCTTGTCTCCCCTTCTAACAACGTGCTTCCTGGTTTGACGGGGGTGGGGGGGGAAGAAACACAATGAGTTTCAAATGAATTAAAATAAAACTGTGAACAATGTCTTGGATAAATATAGGTGTCATGTTTCTTTTGTGCTTTTGGTCTTGTTTTTTTTTTTTTTTTTCTTTTTGTTCATCTTACAGAACAAGAAGAGCAAAATTACTTATAATTACTTTAATAATGGTGGCCAGTGGCCAGTACACTAAGGGGTGGCCAAAAACGGATAGGCGCCAGAACCTCAGTGTCAATCTACACTGGAATGAGCACAACATCCATATTTTCTAAATAAAGACTAACTATACTTTCCTACAGCCTTGCTAACAAATAGATGCATACATTTAAACATCCATGCTGTCTTAATAAAAGGTTTAGTGGACAAATTTTGGGGGCGAACATCTTTATAATATTTGTTGCAGTGGCCTTTGTTTGCAGTTACAGAGGTTAAAAGTTTCCTGTAGTTTTTCACAGGTTTACACATGCTGCAGATGGGATTTTGGCCCACTCCTCCACACAGATCTTCCCTTGATCAGTCAGGTTTCTGGGCTGTCGCTCAGAAACACAGAGTTTAAGCTCCCTCCAAAGACACACTTTATCAAACAAATAAATAGTTACAAATTCATACACTGTGATTTCTGGATTTGATTAAATGTAAATGCATATAAGCATTAAACAGTTTGATACCTCACATTTTTGCCTCATAAGATGCTACATCTCACAACTGTAAAATTTCTAATTGGGGAAACTTGTGAAAGTATGAACACAGTTACCACAGTAGGAGTTTTAATAAAACTGGGCTGACTTAATGGAACAAGAAAACTAAAAATGGTACCTCATAAAACTTTTATGTCAGTCACAACATACAGCAGAAAAGATAAAGCAATACAAGGTGTGTCAAATTCACGCCTCAGACTGGGACATTTTCTCTTCTTTACATGCAGTGCAGAATGGAGGGCCAAAAGTGACATCGTAGTATAAAAGAAATAAATAACAGGTACCGGTATATACATTGAAACTACTGTGTCTTTTATTCTAGATCCATATTGAAATTGTTAAGTAAAAAATTCGTTGAAATGTATTTTTAAAGGATGAGCAGTTTATTTCAAAATTTATTTAGTAATTTTATGAAGTAAATATGGTTGCTGTGTACTTAACTGTCTCAAGGCTAAAGTTAAAGGTTCTAAAATCTGATTGGTTAAAGTTTTAGTCCCACTCACTGACTTTAAGGAGTTACGTTTGAGCTTTTTCACAAAATGAAAAACATTTTAAATAACTCTCTTTTTAATTTATTTCATTCAATTACTTATTTATATGTTTATGCTTTCTCTATTTCATTATTTAATCATACATTCAATTAACCAATAAATAACATTTTTTTTATTTTCTTTTTTGTGACACTTTAGATCCTGAAAGATAAAGGTTGGGTGTGTGGGGAAAACTATGAGGTGAATGGTCAGACGTTAACTTGTCCTACAGATAAACAAGTCTGGTGTTAAAGTTTGTTTGATGAGCGACAGTGATCGTTTAAATTATAGCAGTGTGCATTGCAGCACCCAACACAGAAATAAAAACTTTAAAAAATAGAGTAAATCCCATTATTTAAATCCTTTCTTATTTTTATGAATTTTTTTATGAATTTTTATGAATAATGAATACATCAATATAATAGTGTCTGATTTGTAAAGATGTTTACATATATTATGTTTTTCAATTTCTTAGCACCTATAGTGTTCTGTATTCCTTGCAAGGAAAGCATGAAAAATGTATGCAAATTAGTTCTGAATGCACAGTTCGTTTCAATATGTCTATGCTTTGTAAATAAAACACATGATTTTATTGGTATTCCAAAGAATAAACTGGTAATATTTAAACAAATTTAAATTAAAAATAATTCCAGACATAGTGGGCATTCTGAAAAGTTAAACATATAAAAAGTTAATGGGATACACATTTAATGATAAGTTAGGCAATTGTAATAAAAGACTTTTTATAAAGTTTAGGAAGCTATGGAAAAAAGTTAAAATATTAAATCCAGAGGATTTGGAATCTCCCATACCAAAGCAAAACCGTTCTCGTTTGGACAACGAAATCTCGCGATGATTGCTATGACAGAGCATAGTGGCGACGAGAACTGGCTTGTAACGGAGTGGAGAGTTGTTATCGAAGAACAGGGGGAAGAGACGGAGGCAGCCGCGGACCGAGGGGGTGTGTGAGCGAGTGTTTATGTGGTCCAAACACAAGGAGCACAAAAAGGCGTGAATGAGACAGTCAAACTGGCGGATTTCAACATGGCATCCGGAGATACTCTGTACATTGAGACAGACGGCTCGGAGATGCCGGCCGAGATCGTGGAGCTGCACGAAATAGAAGTAGAAACGATACCGGTGGAGACTATCGAGACCACGGTGGTCGGCGGGGATGACGACGATGACGACGGGCAGCCCATGATCGCGCTGCAACCGCTGGTCACAGACGACCCCAGCTCGATCCACCACCATTCGGAGGTTATCCTGGTCCAGACCCGAGAGGAGGTGGTCGGCGGCGACGATTCGGACCTGCACACGGACGGCAGGGGCGGATTCGAGGATCAGATCCTCATCCCGGTACCAGCTCCGGGGGTCGAGGATGAATACATCGAGCAGACTTTAGTGACTGTGGCTGGGAAGAGCTCAGTGGGTCGGGTGAAGCGAGGAGGAGGCACTGGTGGAAAGAAAGCAGGCAAAAAGAGCTATTTAAGTGGCGCCGAGGCTGGGGGGAGAAAATGGGAACAGAAGCAGGTGCAAATAAAGACTCTAGAAGGAGAATTTTCTGTTACAATGTGGGCATCGGGTGAGTAACTTTAGCCTAACTGTGTGTGTAAGCTCCATTGCAATGAGGCCTCGTTACCAGGGCGTTGTCCTGCTGCACCAGACTATTTCCTGGAGTGTTCACTCGCGTCGTTGTGAAAAGCAGCGTTTAATCTGGTTTTTCGATGAAAAACCAAGCTATAGCATATGGAAATGTTTTTGTTTTGAAGGGAGGCCATGTTTTAAGTGTTGCTGGGCGCCGCCATATTCCCCGAGACTCGTAAGTATGGCGGCGGCCCCGAAAAGATGGCGATAGACGCGGCCGGGCAGAGATGGCGGCCGTGCTGCTGGACTGGAGAGAGCTGGCTCCGACAGGACTGCAGGCCTCAAAGCTTTGGCGCACTTTATCAGCACTTATAGCCGCTGGGCCCTCGGGGCGACTATTAGCAGGGATTTAGGCTTTATAACGATGATTTTCTTGTAATTAAGTGCTATGCATTCGGTATATTATATTAGCCGTTAGCCCTGCGTGGTTACTATTGCTGACAGTTCACCACCATGTAGCTTTAAAAGCAACGGTGTGCTAAGCTATCAGTTAATAATTAGTCACCTTTTATAAAAGCAGCTTTAAGAAAACACTGTAGAGCTTCAATTTAATACATTCATTAATTATTTCAAAAAAGTTCCCTAGCCTAGTTATCTTCTTAATGCGCTACTCTATTTTTAGTGCTCTCTGCTGGATGCTGAAGAGTACTATTAACACATTTTTCCCACTTAATGGTGTGTTTAAGATTTAAAAGGTAATTTACTTCGCTGAACTTGTGAGTTTTTATTTTAGTAAATTTATTTTCACAGATTCAAACACCTATAATTTATTTTTAGTGGCAATATTTAAATGATTATTTTAAAATGACAGTGCTTTTGCATTTCTTTTTGTTGTCAATCTGTTTATTCATGTCGTTAATCAAATCACTAATGAAAAATTACAATCTTAATCTCATTTAACTTTTATTTAATCTGTTTTGTATTGTTTAATAAAAAAAAAACATTAATTTAAATACCATGATGAAATTCAGTCGTAGTTCAGTCATGATTTAAAAATAACTTACAAGTAAGCGTTTGCACAAGATTATACAAATTGTTGCTTAAAATAAAACAGCTATTTAGTGATTACTCCAGCTGGGTGGAAATGGTAAATGTATTAATGTTATTCAGTAATTATGCTGAGCTGAAGTGCTTGTTAACATAATCAGGTGGCCTGGATGCTGCAGCAGATGTTTTCTAACTCCCGGGGCTCGTAGGCAGGGTCCCACCAATATGTTATCGGTTCAGTCTCTGTAATGTCTTCCTAGATGACAATAAAGACATTGACCATGAGTCAGTGGTGGAGGAGCAGATCGTCGGGGAGAACTCTCCTCCGGATTACTCCGAGTACATGACGGGGAAGAAGCTGCCCCCTGGTGGCATCCCGGGGATCGACCTCTCAGACCCCAAACAGCTGGCTGAATTTGCCAGGTGAGTGTTTCTGCTTCAGCGCCTCCCAGCGGCAAACAGGCGTGTTTACACTGTCAACACAGACCCACTGAGGGCTTTCTTCTGCTGTTTTTTGAAAGGTCAAAATATGCATTTTTACCATGGTGACGTTTGGATTGTTTCCTACTTTCCTTAACATGTTATGTTTTTTATGAAGGATGAACAAACTCTGTTTAGTGAAATCAATAATGCCCTGTGTGGTATGCAAAATATTATTTTTAGTTATTATATATATATGTATATATACTAAAAACGATATTTTGCACTTTACACAGAATTAGGCAGAAGGATATTTTTCGTCTGTTCTCCCTGGACAGATCTTAAAATTGTCTACCTAATTTGACTTCACCATGTATTATCAACCCTTATTTATTATTTAAGTATAGATACTAGCTTATTGGTGTTCCTGAACATAAAAATTTTTTTTTTAGATCTGAAATGCAGATGTTACAGGGTTTAAATTAAATGTCTTGTGAAGTTGTTAGTTGTTGCTTTTTGTTGTTAGAGAATAGCATAGAAAGCATAAAAAGTTGGGGATTTTATTGTAATAAGCTCTGTCTTCTTGTAATTATATCCAGAAACCTTAGCTTTAGTGGTCCTGGAAGGTTCTAGAAGTATCCGTTTTTTTGTAAGTAGATTTTAACTTGTGTACCATTTTCAACCTTCCTCCAGGCATGAGTTGTAGGTTACAGAGCTCTAGCATTTACCCTGCTCCCCTGTTTGTTGGACCAGTTCCTTCAGGATCACAGCACAGTCTGGATATGCATTGATGGTTTTTATTATTGTCCATTAATATGGTAGAGGGTTAAAATGTTAAATATTTTATGGTCATTTTTACCTTGATAACATTTTGTTTAAATTTGGTTTGTCCTACCTTGATCAGAATTAGGTTTTCAAGTTACTATGACATTAAAGCTCAATGGACCCCTGGTTCATATTCAAATGAAAGTGACATTTCCCAGTCTCCTAGAAAATAGTAAATTTGGACCTGATTTAACTGAAAAATAACAATTTAAAACTACTTTAAAATAGTTGCTAAACATCCAACTTAATTTAGTGTAATGTAACCCAGTGCACATTTGAAATGTCTTGCCCATGTCTTGCAACTTCAACTCTCCCAGAGACTGCAGGAGAGCAGAAATATGAGGCTACGAAACTATAGGATTTCTCACAGCAAAACGCTTAAACATGTCAGAACATACCAGCAGTATACAGTGTAATTACTTTACAAGATAAAATCAAGAAGGAATTGAAAAGGGAAAGGAAAGGCTCAGCTGAATTTTTGTTTTTGCAAAAAAGAGGCAGCTAAAGGCAAACTATAAGTAACTCGTCAAATATGGATAAAACGGCACGTTTATTGTAAAACGAGCTGAGGCAGCAGCCTAACAAACAATAGAAAGTTTGGTCTGTCTAAATACAGGCTGCTGACTGAGGTTTAGATCTATGAACTCATAAATGTACAGAATTTGCTGGAATGCTTTTCCTTTAGATCTTTCCTGAATTGCTCCCATTAGCTACCGGCATCATCTTTGGTTCCTGAGCTGAAACAGTGACGCTTGCGGTTGACTTTGAAGTGGAGATGCAGCAAACAAGCTCTCCCGACCAATCACGGCTTCTGATTTTCCGACCTTCTGATTCTGATTTTGAACGACTCTGAGGATTTCTTTTCTGACATGAAGGAGATTTTCTAAAAAAGGACTGTGGGTTCTTTAATTGAGGAAGTAGTTTTGAAATCAGCATAAGGAATGGAAATTATCTTTTATACATTAAAGGGTCTATTTCTGTCCTTGGTCTGACTTTGTTTGTGGTGCTGAACAGATGGAGCTGATTTAGAGAAAAAGGGGACAGTTTTTAATTTTGCCAATAGATTTCTTAAACAGAATGCCTTTTGTTTATTTTTAAATGCCTCTAATCATGTATGTCCTCCCGCCCCCATTAGAATGAAGCCCAGAAAGGTTAAAGAAGATGATGCTCCTCGGACGATAGCCTGTCCTCATAAAGTGAGTCTAAAGTTCCTGCATCTCACAGAAACTCTTATCAAAACAAAATTTGCTGTTTGCACAAGTTTAATGCTTCCGTTTGTTGTTTTGTCTCTCCTTTTTTATTTTTTAATAAAGGTTTTTCAAAAGCATTGATAGCACTTGAGTGCTCTGATGCACAATTTCAATCAGCTTTTATGTGGAGCCGTTAATGTAAATGGTTTTCTTTGCTCTGCGAGCAGCCTGCTCTTTTAGTTTGGCTGTTAACAGAGCATCACCACTTCAGTGTGGTATAGATCTGTTGTTCTACGCTTTTCAGAGCCTCTTTCCAAAAGCTCTACAAAACGCTGAGAGCACTTGTCGCTGACATTTGTATGAAAGGGAAACATAACCCCCTGACGCATCAATAGAATATCGACATCCTCTCTGCAGCGAACCTCCCATTATTTGTTTGTCAACTCTGCGCCGTGCTTCATTTGATTTCCCCCCCAGGGCTGCACAAAGATGTTCAGGGATAACTCGGCAATGAGGAAGCATCTGCATACCCACGGACCTCGTGTTCACGTCTGCGCAGAGTGCGGCAAGGCTTTCGTCGAGAGCTCCAAGCTCAAACGCCACCAGCTCGTTCACACGGGGGAGAAACCCTTCCAGGTCGGCATCAGGGCTTGTTTATTGCCTTACCTTGCTCGCCTTCTTCATGCTTTTATCTACAGCCTCACATTGGATTTGCATGATGACTCTTAGAAGTTTTTCCCTGTTTTATAACAAATCGTGATTCATGATTTCTTTTTCCTTTTTTGTTTTGTTTCCTTATATTAACAAAGACTTTTTAAGTGATCAAACTGCCAATTAAATATTTAAAAACCTAAAAAGGTTTGGTAGAAACTGTGACTTTAAGCATTTTCTCCAACATCTGTTCTACAGCATAGGAATATCGGTATCTATAAAAAAAAAAAGCACAAAACTAATTTGTTGCTGTTTAGTGCTCTAATCACATTACTTAATGTTGAAATGGCCCATGCATTCATTTTGTTATTTTCAGCCTTTGTTTGCAGTGAGGATTATAATCAATCATATAATGTTCAATGCTTTCTTTCTTTAACAAACATTTAATTAAATAGATTAAAATTAAATACACAAATAATTCAATATCACCCATCTATAGTTCTATCTGCAAACAGCATCTTTCTAGAATCTCTTCTTGAATTTTTCAGATAGTCACTATAAGCAGAATAGAGCAATTAAAGCACTTTGCAGGCAGTTGTATGGATATGAACTTAATTGAATTTATTGATCTCACAGTGCAGAAAGAAAAAAAAAAAAATATATATATATATATACACAGACACAGTGCGTCCATATATATGTATATTACAGCTGAAGTCTCTTAACAGGATTATTGCAGTGGGTTTTTGATCAGGGTATTAAATGGGTATTTATATTTATATAGTTATTGCACTGGATTTTAAATATGAAGCAGGTTATTAGAAATGGTATTAAATAGTCATTGAACATTGTTTTATTTTATTTTTTTAACCATATTTGCGTCAATTTAAACCATTCCGCTATGATTGCTGCTGGTTGTTTCTATCCCTAATTTAGCTATTCCTGACAATGATACCTTAAAGATTGCATTTGTCTTTGAAAACAAAACAAGGACTCTGCTGTTTCTTGAGGTTAATAAGAGGTTTTTTATTTTTTTTTCTTCCAGTGTACCTTTGAAGGCTGCGGGAAAAGGTTTTCTCTAGACTTCAACCTGCGCACACATGTGAGGATCCACACCGGGGACCGACCCTACGTGTGCCCCTTCGACGGCTGCAATAAGAAATTTGCCCAGTCGACCAACCTCAAGTCTCACATTCTCACACACGCAAAAGCCAAAAACAACCAGTGAGAGCCCCTTCGTCAGCGTCCAGTTGCCCAGGCGGGGGAAAAAAACAACCTTTAGAAGATGTGATGACAACCCTTGAGACTTTAATGATTTATAAAACAAACAAAAAGAAAAAAACATGGAAAAAGTCTGACAGTTTAAAAGACATAAAACACTGAAACTTTGTTTGTTGTTTCCTCCTCACCTAAAGCCCTTTTTTCCCTGCTGGCATGTTGGAAGAGGAACCTGGTGCAGACCCTACCCCCTACCTGCACCACTTCATTGCTCTATTGGCACTTTGTTACCAGAAGATGGAACCCAAGGGCAAAAATCAGAGATTTATTTTTACCTGAGAAGTCAGAGAAACTGCGGTATATATTAGTACTTTTATTTTGTTGTTTTAATTTCCCTCCAAGTGTGCATATTGTACACTGTTCTCAGGCTGTGTTAAGTCAAACAGTTTTTCCTCTTTTATTTTCCTACATTTTAAGACCCCACCTATGACCTAAAAAAGGCCGCAGCCTTGTTCCACCTGATACACACCTAGGAGGAGTTTAAAACCCAACTGTATGTTTGCATTTCCACACCGTCTTTGGTTGTACTTTTCTCTAACCACAAAATAACCTTGTATACTTGTATTGTATGGCTGTATTAAGATTAAGTAGACATAGGTAGAGGTGTGATTTAAAGTGTTAACCAATTAAACTTTTAGTCAACGAGTTTCTTTATATTTTATATAAACTGTCTTAACACAGATGAATGAGTAATATAATCATACTCGGCGGCGGTCACAGTTAAAGGGGTCTGACGTGTAGGTGGAAAAGACTGCGAGAGCATCACTTCTTTGTTAGAATGTAATGTACAGATGTCAACCATTATCTTCCTTTTGTTGGTATTTACATCCATGTATTTCAACAGCCCACAATAAAATGGGTCATTCCAACTCTGTCAAACTACTCTGTTTTTCTCTGGTTTTATTTCTGGGAAGGTCTCTGTAGGAAGATTATGCTGGTTACCAAGGGGGACTCAAATGCAAATTTACACTAAAGGATCAGCTTTCCTTTCTTGTATCGGCAAACAATTGGTGTTATTTTGATTGAGGAACAAGTAAATTAGGTCTTTAGCGGATGCTATCTTTCATCACTCTGTTTAATTTACATGTTTTTAGTCTGCATGCTATAAAATCCTTTCTGGGAAAATTTCGACATCCAGCAGAGCTTTCCAAGTTAGTTGGACAAGAGACACCTAGTGCCCGCCTACCAAAGTTTGGTCTTAGCCAATCAGGAGGTCTTTGCCTTCCAAAAATGCATTTTTTTATCTCTTCTTACAAAAATGAACAGCAGCAGGTACATATGCGTCCTGTGCTGCTACAGCTATTTTGGTTCGGCTTTGGGCTGTATGCTCCGTTTTAAACTATGTAATCTTTATGGCACTATTCAAATATTGACGGTATAATATAAATTTGTTTAACTATAATAATTATCTTAAAATCATAGTAGTACTGTCCTCCATGGCCCCATGATGCAATCTAAGGTTCACCGGTTTACCTTTAGAAGGTCCTGGTATTTCAAACCCCCATGATCCCCTGCACTTTAAGAAGGCTCACTTGGATGATGGAACTATAGCATCACACATCCCAAACTATATCCGACAATAAATAGTGGGATGCTCTTTCTACCTCCTTTGTATTGTAATTCTTTCAACAGGGAATGTTTACTTGTGTGATGATTCAATAAAAATAAAAAACACTTAAATAATTACAAAGGGGAAATTAAATGTTGCAGCAACTCCTTCCTGTCTAGAAATATCGACACCTACAGCTGGTTAAAAAAAATTAAATACAAAATGAGTTATTGCAGCTTTTAATTTCCCTTTGGGAGAAATAAAGTGTTTTGAATTGAAACTCACTGGCAGTTTTTGAAAGAGTTGCAGGTGTTGATAGTTATAGGCAGGAGGATCTTCTGTAGCTGTCTGTCTTGCACTGGATCTGGAGAAGCCTCTTACTGGAGACACACTGCTGCTGTTTAACAATCTTCAGAAGAAGGTGCTAACTGTTGTCCATAATGTTCTTCACTTTATGTAGAATTATTCTTTGTGAAGAAATCTCCAGCAGTTCCAGCTGTTCCTGAACTGAACCAATTTAAGAAAGAATTCTGTTAATTGGCTGTCTCCAGACTTCCATCTGTCTGATCCTCCTCCTGCTTGAAGCATGTGATCCTCTTCATCCCTGACCACATATCTCTGATATTGTTCTGCTAGAGATTGCTTTCCAGCCTCTTCCTATGGCCTCACTGCTTTCTCTTATCTTGACCTTAAGTTACTTCTTAATACTCCTCACTAATTCCATATCTCCCCTTTTTGAAGGCTTGTTTTTTTCTTGTTAAGCAGTCCCTTCAGATAAGTTGCGATCCAGAGTTTACTATTTGAGAAGCATTCAAATACTATGGTGGTTATAGTGTTATCACATTGAAGGTTATGTAAGTATATATGCTGTACACCTGAAAAAAACAAAATGTAACTTTATCTAAATGTAATTAGTAATAAAGTGACATTAAACGTCTAAAATTGAATAGGATAACAGGCCCCACATCTCCATAATAGGCTGAGGATCCTTTGAAATCCATCTGCAGGTACAGTTTTCCTAATGCTTCTTTAGGTTTCTTGTCTATTCTGTTTGCAGAATGGAACACACATCTGCTCAAGGGACAGATGAAAGTACAAGAAAACTAACAAAGATGAGGGTCCCCCCTACTGAGGACATTTTATATCATTACAATACCAGCAGTATATTGTAAAGGTAATTACATTAAATGTAGAGATGTTTGAGAAAAGCTAAAAAAGTTTTAAAAATGCAAGCATGTTCAGTATAAAGGTTTAAATTGTAATTGGGACACCTCAGTATAACTCTGTTTAGGGCCCTAGAAGAGCCTGCAGCCGTCTCTGGTCTGCATTAGAATCACAATGAAGCTTTAGGCCAGAGCAAAAAAAAAAAAAACACATCTGAACCATTAAAGCTAAGTTTGAAATCATCACGGTGTTGTTTTGAAAAAAAAATCCAGTGGTGGGCGAAAAGAGACTCCCTCCTGAGTTTCAGCAGGTGGTGCAGAGCCGGCTGTGTGAGAATCAAGTAAATATCAGAAAACCCCTGATGAAAATGTCACACAGTAAGTCTAGAGTAGAAAAATTAAAGCCAGGAGGCTGATTAAAAAACACATAAAGCATCATTTGAAATCTCCAGGTTTGCATCCTGAACATGTGCATATAAAGCCATTTAGAAAACAAGTTGAATTCATCTTCACTGGGTGAAAACAGGTTTGCAGCTGAGTTTTTAAAAAAAGCTGACAATTTTCAAAGTTCAATCTTATCGCTTCTTATCAACAACAGATGTTATTAGCGAGAACAGAAAACCACAAAACACCTTGCATCAGTGTATTTCATTTCAGGATCAAACTAAACTAAATCTCACCGACCACAAGGACAACTTGTGTCAGTTTTAATTCGTTTTGAGCTCAGGATCACCTCCTAAAAGCTGTTTCCCTTCAGGAGGATTTCCGTCCACCTCTCCTGGGGCTCCACTGGCACTTTCTGACTCTCTGTAAGTCCATTCCCCTTTTTCTGCACAGCCAGCAGGATTAGCACAATTGGCTATGTCAGCGTCCCGCTAAGATCCTGCTCTTTGCCGCCGCCCCCCCCTCACTTCTACAGGCTCCAAACAGCAGTGCCAGTGCTATCCATGGTGCTGATCTCCAGCCATTCAGTCACCAACTGCTTATTTCAAAGTAAAAATGCTGTGCTTTTAAAAAATATTCATACCTCTAAAACAATTTCACATTCACATCTTAAGATGTTTAATGGAATATTTAAGTAAAAGATCTAAATAGATTTGTTTATTATAGTATGTATAAATAAACTTGCGTCAAACTAACTGCCATAAAAGGTTAGCCAAAAAGTAATGATATGTTTATATATTATCTCAGTAGGTAAACATACCAAGGAACACAGCAGAGAAGTCCCGGAAGTGTTCCCGGAAGTGGTTGTGAATGCATTTGGGTCAGCTTAGGATTTTCAGACAATGTTTTAAGCTTTGAATGTATGATGGAACACTATTTATCCCGCATAAATTACCAGGATACCACTGTGTACCTCAGCTGATAGGTTAGATATGGTATCCATTTAGGCACAAACATGTGGAGCAAGCTTCGTTTGGGTTACATCAGAAAACATTTTTTAAAACTGGATGTAAAACATTGTCTGGCAGCAAGTTAACTACCCTGAACACGCCATCCCCACAACGAAATGTGGTGTTGGCAGCATCATGCTGTGGGAATAATTTGCTTCAGAATGAGCAGGTGAGTTGAGTTGAAAAATCTCTAATGCAATGCGGCATTGTTCTTAAAATGTACAATGTTTAGACTGTGATGAGACAAAACGTGTAAATACTTTAAAAAAACTAAAACTGTTAGCTCTCGGTGGTATTCAGAGTTTTGTCCTGAGCCTTTCCTTATTAGAAAACTCCTGTCGTCCCGGTCTGCCAGTTGAGGAAATCAACAAATTTCACCTCCTTGCATTCTTGATGCATCATTGGCCTTTTTAGCCTCGGAGTTGGAGCTTGATGCACCTGCTTTAAATTCACAACCAAGCTCAGTTTCTTTTCTCCCTCTTCTCTACCTGGGAGTTACTTTGACTGGAGTGACGTTCAAGCCTCCCCCTCCCCCCCTCTTGTTTTTGTTCGCGAGTGAGAAAGCAAGTCAGGGTATGTAAAGCTGATTCCTCTTGGGGATATCTGTCTCTTCTTCTCCCCTTCTTCTGAGGGAGCATTTATTTACAGCACTGGATGTTTTGATTGACAAAAGCAGGGGGAGAAGAGTGAATGCGCTACTTGTTATGCAGCTGAAGTCTGTCAAGCCTTCAACACCTGCTCTCTTTCAGATGCTTATTTCATTACAGCTTCTTCTCCTAGGGGTTCAAACCCTTTTTTAAAAAGAAATGTAAAAAAAAACTTTCCCCGCATGTTTATCTGGCCACTGTTCTCTCCATCCTCCCCCCACCGCCACCCGATTTGGTCAAACCCTGGTTTATTTGCAGCTGAGCTGGATCTCACCAGCAATCTCAGCCCCTGAATTTTCTTTCATTAGCTCGTCTGGCTGTTCTGACAGCGAGCAAACGCAGGTTTATCACGCTGAGGCCGAGTGAGTGAGATAACACTAAACCTTTATCTGTGTGTGTGGTTGAGATGTTGAAACTGCAGCTCTCTCTGCAGTGGTTTAACGTTTGTTTTACATTTTCCTAATAACTCCCCTGGAGAGATTTTTCCTCCTCCTTGTCAAGCTGACGCTTGCAGCTGCATAGGATCTGGTGTTGGATAATATAGACTTGATTTTAGTTGAGGGAGAGATCTTTGCCCTTAAAATGCAGAGCTTCATTGTAAGTTACACCTTCCTCTACATCTCCTGTTGTAAAATGAGAGCCTGTCAGTGAGAATCTCCCCCTTAAGTCCTAAATTGCCTCTTCACACAGCCAATTTGCTTGTAAGACAGGTTGAACAGTAATAACTCCATTTCTGTAGGTCAAATCTGTTCAAGACACATTGAAATCTCTTAAAGTCTGCTTAGTGTGTGTGTGTTGTAGGGGGGGCACACAGCAAGAGATGCTATTTCTATGCAGAAAGTATGTTGCCAAGGTAACAGAGGAGAGAGAGCATGTGTGTGTGAGAGATGGAGAAAGAGACTGAGTTCCCCCCACCACCACCACCTTCCCTGAACACCAGGACTGCTGCTGCAGATGTCAGGGCACGGCGCTCCTGCCTGCCAGCATGCAAACATCAACATCTAAGGGTCTCTTCTTGGAAATGTCAAGCCACTTAGAAGTTTGATTTCTAGCTTTTTGTGATTTACCCTTTGTTTTCCTGTCCTGTCTGGATGTCTCAACTCTGGTCCCATTATCGGCTCTCCCAGAA